CATTACAAATCACTTAACTTCAGTGGATTCTCATTGGACATTAGTATTTTTACGAAAACATTATATAAATTCATCGTGAAGAGCTCAGCGTGTGTGGCCGGTAAATAACGAAAGACAAAGCTAGCTAGTTTCCAGTTAAGCGAATTGTACCTACATCAACTCGTAATTAACTCACTCATCGTTAACCCTCGATAAGATATGAAGGAAGTTCCAGACTAGAAAGAAGACTTCATATTGCTTGTAAGTTTGTGAAACTTTTGTTTATAAATCATTGTTTGTAATAACTGTTTCGGTAAATTGTATTGTTGTGTATATTAAAACGTATTTATGTTAAAAAACTGTGTGTATCAATCTTGTTAGCAAATATAATAAGTTGGAGATATATCGGCATATATTTAAATACTAAATCCAAAGTACAAGTTAACTACTAAATTTAAATTTATCAGTAAACTCAACTTCAGAGTATTAGAAATTCTAATACGTAACATTCCATATTTCAACTATCAAACGTACACTAAGAATTTTGAGAATGTGAATAATCAGACTTAACTTCTCAGGGTAGTCCACGGTGTTGTATTTTTTCCATTGTTTGTTGTGCTTTATCATATCAATTCAATAAAATACACGAATAACAGTGAGTGGAAAGAAGAACTCCTCACTCGTACTGACTTCGAGAGAACCAAAATGATGAAAGTCATAGTGCACTAAGCCATAAAGCAATGCAACATGGGTAATGTGTCCATCCAAACTTCTGATTAGCAGTCGTTACATGACGACCAAGTTAAGGCGTGACGTTATTACGTTGCCGCGAATAATTACAAATCTATCAAAATTATCATACGTCTGTTAAATTATTCGTTTGCATTCTATAAGAAAGTAAACACAATGACATAAATTACTTTCAATATAATGAACTGTACATGATATTGGAGGCGTAAAACTTAAAAAACTGAAGACCATATTTTTGAGACATAATTATTATGAAAATTTCATAATGTCATACTAATGTCAGGACATGAATATTTTATTCTGATGATATTCATGAATAATATAAAGCTTCATATTTAGATACGGACAGACAAACGTATACTGAAGTCGTACTCATATTGACGTTTATTCATGAAACGAATTAACAGAGCCAAAGATACTACTTCGAGCCATTAGAATGAGTATTATTATATGAAACACCGAAAAGTTTAGGTTTTCATTAAAGTATGTAAGTACTTGTATTTTTTATTAGTATTGCTTTAAACTGAAATAATAATGAGCTAAGGATCTTAAGCATTAAGTAATTGTTTTGGTTTACTAAAATATGTTTTAGTTATCCTATGGAAAAATATATTTTCTGAAAGACAAAGAGTGAAAATGTTGAGCTAATATGATTTTAAATTTATTAATCGTCTACATTGATATATTTTTAGTTTAAATTTTTGAAATGTTCGAATTGTATTCAAAAATAAAAATATTTATTTCTTTATTGAACCTTAATAGCAAGTCTTTATTATAATCGACTAAATGAATAATCGTGTACTCAAATAATGTAAGGGTTACCATTTGTAGAACAAGCGTTCAAAGTCAGCTTAAGGAGAAAAATATCTTTAGGACATATGAGAAAAGTTTAAATTTCAATGTTTGGTAGTATGTTAGTCCTCTAATTAAAAAATGTTTTTTAACTTTTACCTCTCTGTTTTGAAGAAAGTATTCTCAAACTAATTTCGTAATGAATGTATTTTCAACTACTATGTAAATATATACTTGCTCTAAGTTAAGGCCTCTTATCGTAATGTTACATCATTATTATTCCTGAAAAGATACATTTGTTTTGTTTTAGATTTGAGACTAAATAGCTACACTAATAATTACAAAATGTAATAACTCTGTATATCACATGTGTATATAAAGTACTTAAGAGATAATAATTTTATTAATACAGTAGACAGTGATGTTTCTACTAAGGTAAGAGTTGCATGAAACCCAGCAAAGCTTTGTAAAGCAATTTAAACGTTGAAATTTAGTTTAATGAACGGCAACTGCCTGTTGTAGAAACACAAGTGTAGAGGACGACGTTTCGAAAGTCTTCCATCTTTCGTCTTCAGGTGAATGTGTGTGTATGGTGTTGTCGGTCTTTATACTATTCTGGTGGATTGTTGATAGCGTGTTAACATACTTGTGCTTCTACAACAGGCAGTTGCGTTCCTTTCAGCTAAATCTCATCATGAATACTCTGCCTAAATAATCTATCAGAGAATTCAAATGTTGGTTTATTATAGAAAAAAATAATGAAACTGCAATTAACAACATTTACGATTATGAACGTATGCTAAGACATTTAAGAATTCTTTACTTATTACTCATTTGAAACTTCTTCTTATTATTTTTTTTAATTTTACTTATTGGCAAGTTTGTTCTTAGTTAATTTAAGTTTTTCTTTCATTGGAAATCCTGAGAAGGCAGAATAGTTTTAGATTTTTTGTGTGCTCTTTTTGAAGTATAGTAATGCCTATGGCCTTAGTTTTGTTTTGGTATTTTTTACATATACTTTTTTCAAAGGTATACACTCACTTAATGTCTCTTGTTGTAGGTTATGTGTTTCTTTGGAGAACAACAGGTTGACAGTTTTATATTTTCACATATGTTCAAGCTGTGGTTTTACTCCAGACTGTGGCAACTGGTTGCATCCCTTTATTTAATTTTCTACTTGTTCAGTTTAAATAAACTACACTAATGCTATAGTTTTTATCGTTGAAAGATATATTCTGTGAAGCCATGAAAGATAAAGATTAGCGTGAGCAACAAATAAGTATGTTAAATATGTTACACTAGTGTCTGATAGGTAACACCAATAGTTTGAGATTATATTTTGGGTTGTATTTGAATACAACAGTATGCACAAAAAGAATACATCGGATATTCCAGCTAAAAATATGCTATCTGCTTCTAATTTTAGTCTTTACTTTCCAACTCTCTAGTTATGTTTTAAATGAAAAATCATTGCTAACAGAGATATGAGGGTTTTCAAACGAGACTCAAAACTCGACTTTCGAATAGTTCACTGTTCTTCTTCTGAAGCCCATGAGTTTTGGAACTCATTTGAAAACCATTACAACTTTTGTATGTGATCCTGTGTGCTAATTTCTTAATCAGAAGAGATGTGATGGAATAGATATATTTAATATCCTTAGTTAATAAAGACATTTTTAAATACAACATACTCTTCAGTGAGTTAATAATGGAAAAAGTTTGTTTAGAGAAGTCAGTAAATTGAGATAGCTCATTCTGTATGTCCATGCCGACAAATGATTAAAATTTATATGCCAACGTTAACTATAATATTTCGACTTGTGTGTGTGTGTTTATATATAGGGAATTATCAGTGTAGGTAGATATTATGAACTTATTACTCTCTTGATATTAATTCCTGCTTGTTAATATTCCATTACGAACTTAGTTTTCTTTTAATTCTAAGAATACATTTTGATATGCATATTTAAGTTTGTGTAATTGAGCGAGTTGTATAAATCTTGTAAATTGTACATTTAGGAACGAGCCAGGTGCACCGTTATTAATCTATATCCATCTTAAAAGTCATTCTGTTTTAGTGAACTTTATAAAATATGTGATTTGTAAGTCAATCGAACTATTTCAGAAATTCTTAATGATAGCTATTTGTCCACAATTATTATTCAGTACACACACATAATCACGGAAACACATGCACAAACTATATATATATATATATAATGTTTGTGAGTCAGGATCACATATAAATGTGTGTTTGTAGCCTGAAATAATTTCGGCTAACAAACATAGTGGGTGCTGTATGAAACATTGTATAGTGTTTAAATATAGTAAGTTACACATGCTTTGCTTCTGATCTCTGTGTTATTAATGAAACTCCAACAGCTGACGTCGAAGTAAATTATTATTGGTGTACGTAACCTCGAATTCCGTATAGCCTTCACTTGCATACATTCGACTACTACCCGTATACTTTTAAATGTTCTATTTAAATTTGAGATATATGTGGACTCTTACGAGAGCAAAGACCTATACAGACTAAATTAAAAAAAATAGATTCTGCTATTTCTCACACACAATAAACATCATTGCCCTATTGAAAAAATATCCCCACATAAGTGTGCTGCAGCTCCTTTAAGTTGCCTAAAATGCACAATGTTTATTTTAACATGTTCCTAGTGTATGGAGAGTGACAACAGAATTCCCCACAATTGTATACCAAATGGTTGATAGGACATGTGTGGCAGTGGTTGCATACATTAGGCTCATTTACGTATAGACTCAGTTTCTGCAAACAGGAACAATAACCAATATTACCTGTGAAGTCGTCTCATTGGTATTTGTCACATTTGTACACTACTTAAAACACATGTATTAAGTAGTTGCCTACCATTTTGTAATGCTGTTAGGATGTTTAACTCATCTGCATTTATGCCTATTGTTCTGGTCCTCAGTGGCTCAGCATAAAGTCTGCGGGTTTCGATATCCATGACGGCACAGCACTGATAGCCTATTGTGCATATTAGTGCTTAAGTACAAATAAACAAGGCCTATTGTTACTATCGTGTTATAATCACTCTTCTCTTTCCATTCTTATGTCTATCAACATTATTTGGGTTGTACTTATTCCTATAAAGAATTGACTTATACCAACGTAAACATAATAAATTGATCTTATTACTTGTAATCAATATCGTATATTTTTTTGAAATAGGTTTTCTTTCTTACTGGCAGCATATCACATTCTTTCTTCACCTGATTCGGTTTATTCGCGCTCACTCTCTCTCTCATACACATTTCCCGGTCCTTTTTTTTTTTTTCTGCCGAGCTTCTGTCTTTTATGTTCCTTTCCCTAACCCACGCCGAATTGGTTACTTTCTCACTAACCTTACACTTGTTTCCCGTAAGCCGTATTATAAAGTTCCATAATCATACGGGATCTTGTACTCTCCGTACAGGCTGAACTTGAAAGGTTGCCACTATACCCGTTCACTCCAATCATTTTTTAATAGCTTAGAGTAATGTAATCCCCTAATTCCTTAGAGACTAACCAAAGGCCGGCCGCTTTCTCACACTCTCTCTACACCGACCGATGCTACATTTCACCTATTAGTAATTTCTGGTTTAAAAATATAATTTAATTTTATCTACGCCTTTGCAATTCACAGTTTGTATTTATAATGTAATAATGGTTTTGAGGAACATAACCTTGAACGATATCAGTGATATTCACACAATGTAAGCCCACAACACCTCAGTCTATACCGCTGACAATTATTTTCCTAAACTTCTTCATTTTTGAACTATTTATCTGTGAATGGACCCCTTAATCTCTCGTCATATATACACACCACACGTAAATACAGATATGCATTTTCTTTATGTGTGCTTATCATCAATTATTAATTCCACATCGAGAAAGCTAGAACAATAAAACTTTACTATTTTTAAACAAATTGTTTTTCATTTTAATTGCTATCTACTTCTAAAATCGTATATAATACTATTCTGCATGGCATGTACGTTTTATAATCCTTATATATGTAGTAAGTATATACAATTAAGCAACCCAATATATTTTATTTCAATTTTTATGTGTATACTTTATAAGATATCACTTTTCGAACATAAGAACTCACTGAAGTTATTGTTCCTTTCCTAATGAATGATGAAGTTGTGTAAATATAACTCAAAATCAGTTTACACACATAGTATGGATAATCAATAAGAGACCAATAATAACAATACCTTTGTCAATATCTTCTAGAATGTAATTAGTATAAAATTTGCTGACACGTAAAAGCTATTTGCAACAGCTCAAAAAGTCTTAACTACATCAAAAAATATAAAATATTTCCAATTAGAAGCAATAACTTTATCGAGTAGTATCATACGAGATCCTGAAATGCCTTTATTTTTACGACATAGTTTTACGTCTATTTGATTTCAAAATAAAAATAACTAAGTTTTCGATGTTTTTCTTTCACACGTTTCATCTATATAACTAATGATAAACAAACATAACAGCAGCTACAGTACTTAGCAGCCTATTTGAATACCTAGGAAACCATAAACGTTTTCTATGAATTTCTTAATTAATCATTTCAAATACGTGATAAAGTCATGCTAAAAAGAACAACTGCCCTGCACATCGACAGATTTTACGTACATTTAAGAGGGTATTACACCACTGACAATTTGCAACGAATGAGGTTTTTTTTTCACTTTATTTTGTTTTTATCAGCTGTAATATTTCACAACATTTCCTATCAAAACTCTTTCCTTTATGTTGTCCTGGAAGTGCTGTTATTTTAAAGTGTAAACTATGAATTTAAAATCGAATAAAACAAAATAATATTACCTTTCTTATACTAAAAATAAATCCTTTAAATAACTAATCATTACCTTTTCTTTTGTTAACGTACTTTTAAATATATATATATAATTGTCATAATTGAAAATATGTATCTATTATCAGTTGTAAACTGTAAACTTGGAAAAAATTCGTTAATATTTATATAACTTTCTCTCATTCATTACAGTAGTTTTCAGAATATTCTAATGATTATACACACATTTATTAACGTATACTAGTAAATTTCCATCATCATATAAAGTATGGCGCAGAAACATAAAAATATTATTAGTTCTTGAAAGCAAAAAATTACCCTCGAGTTAATGACAGAGGAAATCTTTTGTAGGTGCCAGAGGAAACACACGTGTGGACCATAAAACACAAAATAAGAAATAGGCCAAATATATTTAAATTATATAATCGGAATGTGGATCTTTGGTATGACGTTACAAGTTTTATTAAAAATGCCGGATGAAGAACATTTTCACTCTCCTAGTTCGAGAGGTCAAACGTCATGTCAAACAAGACCCAACTTCATCAAGTAACCATTCAAAATTACCATTTCGTCCCAGAGTTGGCTAGCTGACTGGATAGAGAAAAGGAATTTAAGGTTGCTTAAACTTCAAGTTCTTATTCAGGTTTAGTCAATTGTTTATATTCTCGAGTAAAGGAAGTCAAAGATGGAGTCGTTTATTTCCATTAGGTGGCCGAGAAGCGGCTCTAAATGACCTAGAATAGAGGATAACCTAATTAAACTTCGCGAGACAAGTAATTGCTGTGATGCTTCCGTCTCTCTTCGCAATTCTGCAAACTATTTTTTTCTTGTGTGTGTGTGTGTGTGTGAAGTCTTGCTCACTGGAAGAAAATTTAGATGGATGACCTAAAAAACTAAATACATGCATACATACCAGAATATGTTCTTTTATTTTTTTGTCTGTGCTAATGCAAGCATATTAAGCTAAGAAAATACTTAAACATTGCATACCACAGTTTATTACTGATTTAGTCAACAATTTAGATAAATCCACGCGTGGGCGGAAAAAAAACAGCGAACGTTTCCTTCTTCTATTTTATTTTTCAAAATGTACAGATGCATGAACAAAGTTTATCTTAAGTCTTTGTGACATTTGCTTTTTAACTATACATTATGTGCATTTATTATTATCTACACATCATTTATGTTAGGCTAAGACATAGTAGCAATTTTGAAAATTGTGTACAATATTATAAAATACTTTAACCGAAATGTATTTTATTTGCGAATGTGTGAAGGTTACACCTATGTATCAATATCAACTAATAAGTTAATGACATTGAGATTATGAATAAAATAATCATTGGCATTGACGATACTCAGTTGATTACTTAATGAATTTTTAGGTTTTTTAATCACCTAGTTGTTCTACATTGTAAATCGTGAGTCATTTCAACTGAGCTACATTCAATGTTTTACAGTACCTTATTGAAATTAGTTTTTATATTGTTAGAAATAAAAAGTGTATTATATGATCTCCACTAAGGGATATTTAAATTTGGAATTTTTTAATTGTAAATAAAAAGATTGCCTTTATGATGCTCAGTTATTAATTATAATGATAAGCTTATAAAATATTACATTAGAATGGTGTGTGTAGTAACAATACTTTATTATAGAAGGTGTATGTTGTGAAAGATAAACAGGAATTGGAATTGCTCATTATTATTAAGATGGAATACAATACATTTAACGCTGTCAAACTGAGAAATGTATGTTATATTAGACATCTAAATATGTAATTTGTATAATGACACAATTCAATGAACATCTTGAACGATAAGTCAGAACAACCAACAATTTTATCAGACACCTATAGAAAGATGTGTAATTCAGCATTTCACCTACCGCAAAAAATCCATATCAAAATCAAATATATCAACAAAATATAACATCAAATTAGTATAAATATTAAATATTCAGCACTTAGTTGGCCCTCCTCGTACTCTAATGACCTCTGCAAAGAGACATGGCATACTGTCGATGGGGTTATTGGTGTAATCCACCATAGTTTTATCCCAACTTGTAACTAGAAGGCGCTGCAGCTATAGTAGCTGGTTATGGTCGTGGTTAGCAATTTTCTGGCTCAGTTCTGCCCAACAATTCTGAATGGAATTTCAATCTGGAGACCTTGTTGTCCATGACAATCTTGTAAAATCCTCTTCATCGAGATAATCCTGTACAATGCACGCAATGTGGGCAGTGGAATTGTAATCCTGGAACACAAAGTTATTGCCAAACCTTGCCTTAGCATATGGTAGAAATATCGTCTCCATGTGAGGCCTGTAGGAGGCGTCATTGATGTTTCCATGGAGGATGCGAAAAAATAGTTTTTCCACCATGATGAATAGCTGCTCCAACATGTACTGCACCACATTTTGTGTTTTCCCTGTGAGAAAGACAATCTTTCCTCATCTGTACTTCAGGCAAACAACGAACATGAATCTTACTATCAGCTTTAACAAGCCGGAAACAAAACTCATCTGAAAAGATGACATGTTGCCAGTGTCCTAACTGTAAGTTGGCATGCTGTCTTGTCCGAATGATATGGTGACGGCGATGAATTCTGGTTAATATCGGTTTGCAGATAGCCTTTCCTGAAAAATAACCTTGTTTAGTCAGTCTCCTATTCGCAATTCTTCTGGATATCCTAGAATAGATGTGTTTGTGCCATTCCTGTCGTAAGGTGTTGCAAGACAAGGCTATCTCGAGCAGTATGTTTTCGGCGTCTACCAGTAGACTTTCCTGGAGCAACGTTTCCTGTAGTTCGATCACGTTTCGACTTCAGGATACAATACACTGGGGGTACCCAATTGTTCTAGCAAGCCATTTTTGCTTCATACCATTTCTGGACAGTTGATCAATTTAACGCCCTATAATTTCTGACACTTGACGAGGCATGTCTTTACACCAAATACAGGGAAATTGTCTGAACAAAGCGTTGATCTGTTTCGAAAAAGATTATACCAAAAGTACGTCCTTTATACAAAACAGATGTATACGTGTGTTTTGACGAACAACTGGTCAAAACAACTTATATAGGCCAGAATAACAACTGGTACATGTTTGTACAATCATACGCTACTTTCTTTGTTACTACTCGAACATTTACTTAATAACTACTCCATGCACGTAGACAATAACATCAATATAGAACAGTATGAAAACATCTTGGCCAAGACTGTATTATTGTAATCATTCTTCGCTGGTTTGTAAAAAATGTAAACACCATAACAAATATGAAAATGATGTGTAATAAAAACGTTTTTGGAAAAGCAATAGAGAATAATAATTAAATGAAGATCAAGTGGCTGTCGTGTTTCACTTCAAGTACTGAAATCAGTATCTGCACGAATATTTTCCTTAGAGATAATTGCAAGTATTAAGAAAATGTCCAATGTTTAGGAAGTGGAGATAAATAAGATTCGAATGAACATTTTTTAATAATTTGTTATTGAAAAACGACCCTAATCCTGTGATAATGAAATTTGAGCCTAGGAATTTTCGTCCAACGATTTATGATGTTCTTAACACTGTTATAGTTTTATCCATACCGGAATCTTAGTTTATTAGACTCATTTTGAACAGTTTTCTCTTACTTCTAATTCCAAGTATGCATAAAATAAACTTAAGATAAACAAAACCAACGAGATATTTCAAATTATATGAAACATCAGGAGCTAAAAATCAAATTAACAAGCAACGGAGGCATGGAATATTCTTCAGAATTTTTCGTAGTTCGTTAAATAATACCATTTTTTTCATTTTTTCTCGATTTTTACGAAATTATTTTCTTTGTAATCGCTAACGCTCAAAGATTATTTTTACAAGAAGAAAACAGAAATATTTAATTCTGTAATGATAACTCTAAAGCGCTTCCAACTTTTCAAAGAACATTTTAACTGTGATTCCTAATACCTATAATTAAAGCTATATATAATGGCAAGGTTGTTTGATTTTTATAGATTTCGATATTCTAATACTTATGTAATTTGTGATCAACTTTAGTTTTGCAATTAGAAGACCAGGAACGCTAATGGCTTGAATCTTTGAGACGCTGAGCTTCGTTCCGGAAAGTTCCGCATCAATTCTCCTGCTGAATCAATGATGTAACTCCTTCATAACGTGTCTTATTTATTTCAAAATTTACACAGTTGTTCTCAGCTAGCTGCTTATAGACTCAATCAATCTCAATTTAGAGATACAGTAATTGGCCACAATAGTAAGATTTGCAAAACATTAATTTACGGAACAATCTATTTATTGAGACATTCAGGATAGTGATTGCTTGTGCTCTATAAATACAGAGATATATGCATATGGTGGTTACTCTGGAAGACAATCGGCAAGAACCAAGGTTCTTTCAACTTTCAAAGAGGCACGATAATTGGTATTTGTGTAGCAGAAGCATTGTTTTAAAGCACAATCTGCTCGACTAGTTGTTCAAAAACAGCAGGCGTTAAAGTTTACCAGCAGCTCAATCGACAATCTCTACCAACATCAAACAAGCTACTCGCCGACCGTTGTTGCCTAGCATTGTGAAAGTACAAAAGAACGGTATTGTAGAGTACACCAAACTGTGTACCATTTGACCAAATCGTTCATATGGTAGCCAAACTCTAATGAGGTGACCTAATCACTTCAAACGTTACGAGTTTTGAGGCCACATGATAGTTGTGTTCAACCGTCTTTTCGATAACAACATGGTGTATGTATCAATCTTGTATTCACCACTGTGGCTTGACATTTTCAATTTTACAGATATATTTATCTATTATGAAGTTTTAAATCATGTTGAAAATCCTTGTCTGAATTCTTTTGTTAAACCTTGCCTAAGTCTCACTTGATTAATTGAAAAAATTCAGCTGGTTGTTGACAAAGCTTTATGCAAACAAACTAAATGAGAAAATGATTAAAAAACAGAGATGTAACTCCAGTCATAAAGCTTTATGCAAACAAACTAAATGAGAAAATGATTAAAAACAGAGATGTAACTCCAGTCATAAATTTAAATACACTTTCTCCTTTGCTCTTTAATGACTCCAAGCAAAATGCTGTATACCAGTATCTGTCTGTGTGACAAGCTCTTTCGGACTAGCAGTTGCTTTAACGGTTGAAAATGAATGAGTAGACTTTGTTATTCAGAAACTGAAAAACGCATATACCATTATCAATTAAAAACTATAAAGTGCTTGAATTTCTCAAGAGGATGAGACAGCTATGTTTCTAGATGTATAAACACCTACAACACTGGCTACATTATTGTTTACTAAAGGTAAGGACTAGCATACATAATTATACGAATCATAGATTTTAACTCACTTCTTAAATAAATGGGATTCTAAATTATACCAGCAGTGAGTATGCGAATGAACTTATTAAAACACATTTCTCTTGTAAATGAGATATAGCAATTAAGCAGGTTAGTACCCAGTAAATAAATAAATAAAGGCTATTAAAAAAATAGTTTTGGGTCGGTTTGTTTAGGACTCAATAAAAGGTTTGTAAAACACATAGACGCTTAATGTAAAAAATGCAAAAATGAATAAAACTTGAGAAAATATTCAGGTAAACCATCTTAGTAAACTTGTTTTTATTAAGCATTTACATAACATTATATAAAGAGTTTTTGTTCAGAATATGGTTTCTTAAGTTCAGGTCTGACGAATTTCTTCGTTAAGGTTCTTTTCACAAATTTGTCGGC